AAACGTGTCTTACGAAACTTGTTTTTTAATATACTATTTTTGTTTTTCAATCGATTTAGTAACTATCGACCGCTGGGGTACTAATAACTCACCCTGTATATTAATGTTAGATTGTTGCATATTTTTCATTAAAGTAAAACTTTCTAGTTCTAGGTCTAGTGTTGGTTCTAGTTTTGCACTAGCACTGTCACTAGAACTAACACAAGACCTGGAACTAGAATCATTCAGATTTAGCTGTCTTTTGAGACGTTCAGCTAAACCCGAATGTTTCTAATTCTAGGTCTAGTGTTAGCTCTAGTGACAGTGTTAGGCCGGGTTTATACAGACGATTTAGCTGTAAATTTAAATTTAAAAATTTAGCTGTAAGAGTTAAATGTATTGAAACCCCATGTATCGTTTATACAAAGCTGTAAGATTTAGCTGTAAACATAAAGTTGGTCAACTTTTCTAAATTTGCAGCGTCACACATGCGCAAGACAACCTGAATCAGCTGTATCCAATGATCGGCCGGTGTAAATCAAGGTTTATATATAAGAGGTTGTCTAGGTTCGTACACAACCATACTGCGCATTACGTCACATGTGGAAAATAATACCGCCAAGCAATTCAAATTAAACAAAGGCATGGAGCCCCACATGGCCATGAGGTTGCGTGCGCAATCCGTGATCGCTTACGTCACGAAACACTCCTGCTCTTGCCCCTCGCCCACAAACTAAAATCAAAGTATTGCAGCATAGGAACTTAGACAACCTTTAATATATAAACCTTGGGTGTAAATAGCGCGTTCTAACCTAACCTCAACTGTTGTTTATTTCTGTGCCAACAAAATGAGTGAATTCGATGGAAAATTAATTAAAATAGTTGAGAACTACCAATATATTTACGATAAAAAATGTTCTGAACATAAAGATAACATATTGGTAGAATATGACAACACAAAAACTAGTAATATTTTGTTTCTTGAGGTTGCGATTCTGTAAATCTTAAATTCTGTATAAATCAATTTTTTTCTTAAAGTTAAATAAAATCCTTAAATCTAAATCTTTAAATTTAAATTTACAGCTAAATTCTGTATAAACTCGGCATTAGGAAGCCCTAATAAGCAGTAGATAACGCTAGATTGTATATTATTAACGAACTAACACAAGAACTAGAACTAGAAACATTTGGGTTTAGCCGCACGTCTTTTAAGACAGCTAAACCCGAATGATTCTAGTTCTAGTTCTTGTGTTAGTTCTAGTGATAGTGCTAGTGTGAAACTAGAACTAACACTAGACGAAGAACTAGAATCATTTGGGCTTAGCCGCACGTCTCTCAAGACGGCTAAACCCGAATGATTCTAGTTCCAGGTCTTGTGTTAGTTCTGGTGATAGTACTAGTATAAAAGTAGAACTAACACTAAACCTAGAACTAGAAAGTTTCAGCTAAACCCCATACTTTGTAGTTCTAGGTCTAGTGTTAGTTCTAGTTTTAGTTCAATAACAATATAGAATCTACCGCTATCTAGTGCATACTAGCGCTACCTAACACTGTCATTAGAACTAACACTAGACCGAGAACTAGAAACATTCGGGTTTAGCCGCACGTCTCTCAAGACGGCTGAACCCGAATGATTCTNATATTCTGTCTATTTTTATCAGTTTTTTTTGTTCTTCCTTTAATATTTGATTAATATTTTATAATATAATATAATTTTGTTACCATATACCAGATTTTAATGCGACTTGGTACTTTATGAGATTTAAAAAGATGTAAGTAATAAAATATGCAATTGTTCTGCCATATAATTTACGACTTTAGAGAAAATAAGATGCACATGTTAAGAGATACCTCAAGATCTTTTATACAGCGCATTAATGCTTGTAGAAAAGAAAATACCTACTTGTTGAGCAACGTTTAGTGTAATTGTTTATAGTTTGTTGCTGCATTTCCTTCAAATAATTTAGTAATTAAAAAAGGGATTTATTGTTCTGCCATTTAATTGTATTTTTATCACGTTTTGCTTATTTAGTTATTAAAGTTTTTTTTTAAACTGTATTTTAGTATAATATTACTGATTTACAAATGACAGACAAACAAAAAAGAAAAAACAAAAATAATGTCAAAAAAAGGACAGAATATATTACATTCTATCACTTTTTTAAGTACAATAATGACATTTTATTACACATTTTTCTTTAAATTCTAAATATGAGGAAAACTATTAAAGTTAGACATATGATATACTTATCATTAATTAAAGGGAACTTGATGAGCAATTCAACTAGCACCCAGTATACAGGCTGTTCCATTTAAAAACTTAAGAAAAAGCCATTAGAAAAACATCAAAAGTAACTAAGCTTTTTAAACACCCTGTATAGTAATATCTTTGAATACTATCATCTACCTACTGGCTTTGACTATTGTGTGACGTAGTTTCAAGGCAAAATCGGAAAAAATATCGTTTTTTCGTCATTTTCAAAAAGAACCTGTAATAGGCACGTTTTGGAAGAACAATTGAATATCTCAGGAACTATGAACGCTGTGAAATAGTAATATATACGGTTGTATAAACAAATTTAATTATAATTATAATTATAATATGATAAAACAGGGTGTTCCATTTAAATAAATTTACGTACTCTCCGTTATGCTTAAATGAAACACCATATACAGGGTGATTTAAAAAACCACTGACAGACTTCTAGGGCAGGTAATACATTAAAAATTAAGATGAAAAGTCTTAATATACATGGGCTTGCAAATGCCAGCTTAACGAGATATAAGGGTGTCAAAGTTTCTTTCTCTGCAATAAAAAACCCTTTTTTAAAAATATTTTCAACGCCACTGCTAATTTTGTCAAACGGGCAGTATTTTCGTGTAACGTGATCAATTATCTATCAATTGGTCTCTTACAAAATTTTGATTAAAGCAAGAGTTTTTGGATTTGATTAACAAATTTTCTACAAACGTGTTTTTCTTATAAACTATTGCTTTGATCAAAGTTTTATAATTGATAGATAATTGATCACTTTACACGAAAATACTGCCCGTTTGACAACATTAGCAATGTCGTAGACAATATTTTTGAAAAAGGACTTTTTATTGCAGATAATGTTTAATTTTAAAGACACTTTGACCCGCTATATCTCGTTAAGAAGACTATTCATCTTAATTTTTCATGTATTATCTACTCTAGAAATTTGTCAGCGGCTTTTTTGAATCACCCTGTATAAGTGAAAACCATTTTACGTAATAGAAAGTGATGAGTCAAACAACTTTTGTATAAAATATTTTTTTTGTTTTTCAATCGATTTAGTAACTATCGACCGCCGGGATACTAATAACTCACCCTGTATATTAGCGTTAGATTCTTGCATATTTTTCATTAAAGTAAAACTTTCTAGTTCTAGGTCTAGTGTTGATTCTAGTTTTACACTAGCGCTGTCACTAGAACTAACACAAGACCCAGAACTAGAATCATTCGGATTTAGCCGTCTTTTAAGACGTTCGGCTAAACCCGAATGTTTCTAATTCTAGGTCTAGTGTTACCTCTAGTGACAGTGTTAGGAAGCTGTTAGAAGCTGTTAGAAGTCTTCAGACGCACGGCTTAACCCAAAACTTTCTAGTTCTAGGTCTAGTGTTAGTTCTAGTTTTACACTAGCACTATCACTTGAACTAAAACAAGACCTAGAACTAAAATCATTCGGGTACATCTCTCAAGACGGCTAAATCCGAATGTTTTTAGTTCTAGGTCTAATGTTAGTTCTAGTGACAATGGTAGTTAGCATAAGATTTAGTTAGTTAACACATTTTGGAAGAACAATTGAATATCTCAGGAACTATGAACTCTGTGAAATAGTGACATGTANAGCGCTACCTAACACTGTCATTAGAACTAACACTAGACCGAGAACTAGAAACATTCGGGTTTAGCCGCACGTCTCTCAAGACGGCTGAACCCGATTACCCGATTACCCGATAGTGTAATAGTAGAACTAAAACTAAACTTAGAACTAGAAATATTCGGGTTTAGCCACACGCACGGCTAAACCAGAAACTTTCTAATTCTAGGTCTAGTGTTAGTTCTAGTTTTACACTAGCACTATCACTTGAACTAAAACAAGACCTAGAACTAAAATCATTCGGGTTTAGCCGCACATCTCTCAAGACGGCAAAATCCGAATGTTTTTAGTTTTAGGTCTAATGTTAGTTCTAGTGACAATGGTAGTTAGCATAAGATTTAGTTAGTTAACACATTTTGGAAGAACAATTGAATATCTCAGGAACTATGAACTCTGTGAAATAGTAACATGTATTCATAATATGATAAAATATACAGGGTGTACAATTTGAATAAATTTACCTACTCTACGTTACGCTTAAATGGAACACCTGTATATGTGAAAACAATAAATAAATATTTTTTTGTTTTTCAAATGCCAGGATACTAATAACTCACCCTGTAAACATATATGAGAAAGTTATAAACTAAATAGCCGAATGAGACATTACATATATTTTTAACACGGATATATATTTTTAATTCTCGTAGTAAATATTTACACTAAACGTGTAAACATTTTAAGTATTTAAATAATGTTCTAGTATGTGTGTTAAGTTTATTTACTCGTTGCAACACGTTAAATGGCCGGTTTATGTGAATTACACTCACTCAATTTGAGACCAGATTTATTATTAACCAGTTTTGAGTGTTTATTGCGACAAAATCGTGTACTTAAAGGTTATTAATCGTATCTAAATAAAAGTTAGGGAAAAATGAGTGATGGAAAAGAACGGTTAGGTTTAGCCGGTAAAACACGTGGTCTTATTGTTTTTAGGATTAAGTTCGTAAACTTTCGACGGATTTCGATTCATTTCGAGATATTTGAAGGTTCTAAGTTAAGGTTTCTAACCAATGAGATCTAACGATTTTAAACTGTGAATTTGGCGCCGTTCGGATGCCGGCCGGCAAACGGACCTTGCGCACATGTTCGTTTCAGTATTCATCCGACTGTCGGGGAAGTTCAGTTCCAGCAGGAGGTACGCTCGTGCAGTCAGTCAGTTTCGAACCGTCGTTGCGTGCGAATCGTTCTTTCAGCAAATTTGTATAAGTAAAATAATATATAAGACACCCGAGCACCCATCGCCAAGTAATAACCGACTATTGAAGAGTTAATTAAAAACAAAAATAAATACGTATATTTTTGTACATTCGAGAATTCCTCGTGTTAAAAAATTTAAAACGTGGACTAAATAAATAAAATCTAATCTAACCAACAACAACCCCGTGTTAAGAAAAAATATAGTTAACAGTCGACGAAGAACAAAAAATAAAATAAAAATAGGCGACAATCAATCGATTATTTTTTAAATTCGCGTGCGGACTGAAAAACATTTTTTCTCATTTAAAATTTTCAAAGTGTGTGCGGAACCTTTGTTATATTAACTTTGATTGTATTAACTTTTGTTACAAGGAAGACATCAAAATAAATTTGAGAAAATGCCGGCAAGTTACTTCGCCGATTCCGGTTTAGCCGATGATAGGGCGCTTCAGTTAGCCCTTGAATTAACAAAAATGGGTTTGACGGACCCTTTGGGCCCCGTTTCCGAACCAGACACCCCAACCGATTTGGGCAGTTTCGTGAATCCTTTGGTCTCCACCGTTGGTCTCGAAGAAGTCCGATCGAAAAAATCGCAAAATATGACCGAATGCGTTCCGGTTCCAAGTTCCGAACATGTTGCCGAAATCGTTGGACGACAAGGTCAGTAATCTAAAAAAAAAATTAAAATATATATCAACAATTTCATTTAAACCTTTTGTTACAATCTTAAAAGAATTTCTTTAAGAAAACGTGGTCTAAACTCGTGCAGTTCGAGTTCATGGTCACAAAAAATATTTATAACGAGAATGACGAGGTTTTATTTTTTCGTTTTCGAAAGTTTTAAAAGGATTTCCTCTATTTTTATCAATTTGATTTAAAAGATAAATACAAAATTTGATAACGTAATTTTTGTTTTTGACTCATAACAATTAAATATGCAAACGAAATGTAACGAAGTCAATAATAAACATATTTAATAAGCATAATTTTAATCAAATCAACTTTCATTAGATTTAAATTAATCAAAAAATCTTTGTGAATGGATTCGTTTCTTTCTTGGAATCCCCCATAAAGTTTCTATTTATAATGCTTGCACGTGTAAGTCAACATCACCACCAACAAAGATGTTATAAATATAAATAAGCATTTTTAAACTTTTTGACACAATTATATTGTGACCTCGTTGTTGCAACAAAAAAAGCAGTTATTGTGATTAAATTGTATTGTTAAAAATGTCAAGGAACAGCAAGAAGTTTTGTAATAACGGTTTCTTCGTTTCATCCCCGAACAATATACAAAAGCTTCACAAAATCTTTTTTTTGCAATTATTAAAAGACTATTATTATCTTGATAACAAGAAAATTACAGGTTTTAAAATTACTTGAGGACCAACTTTTTGGGTTGGGTTTTAGAATAGCATCTGGTGGCTGCTTCTTTGAAAGTTAAGGTTCTCTATGAGAAGAAGAGGCGGGGTACTACTTCTTCATTTCGGTTAAAATGACCTTGACATAACTTTCGTGAAGATGGATGCACGTCTTTCTCCGGTTGAAGAAAATGTGTTGGCGGATGAATTAATGGCGTTTAAGAACGGTTTTAGACGATACAAATTTATTTATATTTAATTAAAAAAAAAATAATTAAAATTAAGCGGTTATATTACGTTATTATAGGAAACTATGAAGCAAATAAGGAAAACAAATAACCCACTGTCCGATAACATCCGGTTTGTTGGACAAAGCCCTCTAACTTCACCAGCTGCATGAATCGAAAAACTTCTCGTATTTAAACTTTTTTTTTGTGTATTATTTATAAATATCTGATTCAAATTAATTTTTTTTTCGATATCGATTGGGTCTTTATGGCTGGTTGGTTACAAGTTTTCCAAGTAAAGTGCCTTTCGTATACAATGCAATACGCCCACCTCAAAAAGTGCTGGGGCTCAGACAGATCGAAAAGTCGCTTTCGCTCATTAATTATTGGCTTGCATATGCGCCGGGTGCTGCTGCAAAACTTACACAATCCAAGGCGGTTGGTGTTTGTGTGTTGTTGTACTGTAACAGCAGCTGCACTCTAAAACTGGACGACGACCGTTGGGGCAATTCGAAAGGAAATTAACCATAATTTTTTTTACAAAGGGGTTAGAAACACCTATGACGGTTAAAAACTATTTTATAACCTACATAGCTATAATTTTGTTCATTATTCATCATTACCTATCAAGATTAAGAATTATTCTTTGTATAAACAAATGATAAATGCTTGAGTTTGCAAATTAAAAGAAAAAATTTGATATTCTTTAACTTGATCCATCACCGCCGTCAGTCTGGCGTCTTTAGCCAGACTTTTCTATATCTCTACTCGCATATGAGATCATCATGGATGTTATGTTATAGAAAATACTTTTATGAGCAAATCTAAACTGTATGGGGAACTTCCACGATTTATATCTTTAACTTAATTATTTGCTATGCTTATTATTCTTAAACTATAATTAATTAAAATAAAGTAATAGCAACAAAATTTGCTATTCACTCGTATACTTACAATATTATTTACGAATTTGGCCGAATTTCGTGGAAAGAAGTCATTGAACGCAAAGACTTTTCCATTATGATTAAAATGTCTATTCTTGATACATATATTCTACACCAATATTCTTGAAATAATCCAACCGTCCCAAATACATCACTATTAGCAAAACTGTTAGCCTAACAACTAACTGAAGAACATATGCAAAGATCAGCAGTCCATTATTATCCTTCACTCAATAAACATTACGCCTTAACATAGGCAATAGGTTAGGTTGCAATAACGTTTTTAGTATCTTCTTTTGTTGGTAGTCTATTACATTTCTTCTTGTATAAAATGTTAAATCGGCCAAAGAGAATTGGCTCAGTAAAAAAGTGTCTTGCTGTGATAATAATGAAGTGAGAGTGTGGATGTGGACTTGTGATCATAAATATCGTCTGCACATATGTGTTCCAACTTGTATGGTGTGTTGTCTATAATCGTCTTCTAACAATTGAAGCAATGTTTTGATATTTTTAGGTTTTGTTTCTAAAATTGGTAAGTTATCATTGTAAGCATTTTTGTTTTGGCAATTGTATCTGGATATTCTTTGCTCTTTTGGGATGAGTTAGCTTAAAGGTGTTCCAAATGAATCCATTAATATATGCATTGACCTTAACAACTCCAAGATTTGTTGCTTCATGAACAAAGTGGTGAAACTTTGACAATGAATATGGAATTCATTCATTTCTAGAATGTTTTTCAGTTTCATCAGAAGCACCTATAGCGTTGTAGTATTTTGGCCACCAGTTTTTATAATCTATGATATCTTCTTTTGAAACTTCCTTCACAGTAAAAGCGTTTTTGGCACTAAAAGTTATAATAAGTTCAGTACATCATAATCTCGGTCAACGTTCCATAAGCTTCTCTTAATCACTCCAAAATCTCGTAAGGGGTAATGCTGCTGCAGCTTTTAAAACCTTCCACTTTCAGTTAAGATCATGAATGCTTTCATTATGCAGTGATTCTTGTTTTGCCCTGGACAATTATTAGAAAACTATCGGAGTTCTTTTGCATCAGAAGAAACATACATTTCTATATACTCCATTATGAATGTAGTGACTTCATTCAATGGCATTTCCTTTAATATTTATGCCTCGTTTATCACAAGGAACTTCATCATTCGCAAGCAAACGCTTAATGCTTTTAATTCGTTCCAAGCTAATTGCATAAATACTTGCAAATGTTCGATATTAACAAAACGTAGAAACGATCTATTTCCATTCATCCCATTTTATTTGCGTTTTCGTCTTTTGGCTACAGCTGCAGCTTGTAAAATTAAGTAATAACAACAAAATTTGCTATTCAGTCGTATACTTGCAATATTATTTACCTATTTGGCCGAATTTCGTGGACTAATCTTAACAAGTCATTGAACGCAAAGACTATGATTAAATGTCTATTCTTGATACATATATTCTGCATCAAACCGTCCCAGATACATCACTATTAGCAAAACTGTTAGCCTAACAACTAACTGAAGAACATATGCAAAGATCAGCAGTCCATTATTATCCTTCACTCAATAAACATTACGCCTTAATATTTTTGCTTAGGTTGCAATAACGTTTTTAGTATCTTCTTTTCTTGGTAGTCTATTACCTTTCTTCTGGTATAAAATGTTAAATCGGCCAAAGAGAATTGGCTCAGTAAAAAGGTGTCTTGCTGTGATAATAATGAAGTGAGTGTGTAGATGTGGACTTGTGACAATGAATATCGTCTGCACATATATGTCCCAACTTGTACATGTGTTGTTTATAATCATCTTTTAACGATTGAAGCAATGTTTTGATATTTTTAAGATTGGTAAGTTATCATTGTAAGCTTTTTGTTCTGGCAATTGTATCTGGATATTCTTTGCTCTTTTGAGATGAGTCAGCTTAAAGGTGTTCCAAATGAATCCATTAATATATTCATTGACCTTAACAACTCCAAGATTTGTTGCTTCATGAACAAAGTGGTGAAATTTTGACAATAAATATGGAATTCATTCATTTCTAGAATGTTTTTCAGTTTCATCAGAAACACATGTAGCCTTATAGTATTTTGGCCACCAGTTTTTGTAATCTATGATATCTTTGTTAGTTTTGTTTCTAAGATTGGTAAGTTATCATTGTAAGCTTTTTGTTCTGGCAATTGTATCTGGATATTCTTTGCTCTTTTGGGATGAATCAGCTTAAAGGTGTTCCAAATGAATCCCCATTAATATATTCACTGACCTTAACAACGTCAGGATTTGTTACTTCTGAACAAAGTAGTGAAATTATGACACTGAAAATGGAATTTTTTCATTTCTAGAATGTTTTTTAGTTTCATCAGAAGTACATGTAGCGTTGTAGTATTTTGGCCACCAGTTTTTATAATCTATGATATCTTCTTTTGCAACTTCCTTCACAGTAAAAGCGTTTTTGGCACTAAAAGTTATAATAAGTTTTGTATAACATAAACTCGGTCATCTTTCCATAAGCTTCTCTTAATCACTCCAAAATCTGTCACAGGGCAAAAAAAATGTCCTCGCGGAAAATAATCGGAGTTCTTTTACATCAAAAGAAACATACTTTGTGAATGTAGTGACTTTATCAGGGAATGACAAGATATGAGTTGCTCTAACACGTTCTGTTTCAGTTTCTTCAATGGCATTTCCTTTAATATTTGTGCTTCGTTTATCATAAGGAACTTCATCATTCACAAGTAAACGCTTAATTCTTTCCAAGTTAATACCATGAATACTTGTAAATACTCACTGACCAACCATTATTATTTTTTCGTTTTTTGGCTACACTTTTAGCTAGTTGCAGATAAATGTCTTGCTCAGATTTTGATTTCATGCTAAAAAATGTTGTAAAAATTAACTTCTTCTGTGCATCACTTATAACATCAAAGCATTTCATTGAACAACTAAAAATAATAAGAATGTAAGGAATGTGTTAACACTAAAATAATCCAAATATCTCTCAAATAGTACTTACTAGCATCTTTCTCTGCAGCTTCTATAGGTATATTGTCTTTGTCACGAGATCAACTTGCTTTATTACCGTTCATAATAATTATTAATAATTAACTTTGACAAACGATAAACAGCGCGAATTTAT